TTGCAGATTGCCGTCCAAAGCACCTGCTTGGAATCCTGGTGCCTGGAGCCGGCCCTGTACACACCCTCCTTTGTATAAAGCATGACTATTAATGTAGCACAAGTTTTTGCTATTATTTTGTTTGATAGCTTTGAGTCTATCTTTATCCTATAGAGCGTTTACCCTCATTAAACTATGTAATACAAGAATAAAATTCACAAAAGAATGAGCTCTCCCTGCACTTGTCCGCAATAGTAACAATTAGTGCACAAAATAACATCTATGATGTCTCTGTGGCTCTAACACTACCCACATTAACCCCACAGATGATTATCCTGTAGTCTCAAACTCACCCACTCACTCTTGTAATAGACCCCCTAACCTCTGGCTGAGATACTGAAGTCCTCAAATCACGATTTAAAGTCTTCAAGTTACAGAGAAGTTACAGAAAATCCACCATTTACAGTAGTTTAAACCTGCAAGTGACCCGTGCCCCATGCTGCAGAGGAAGGCAAAACTAAAAAAAACACCAGGGTTTTTGCTGATCTGATCCGGGGGAACTGACCCCAAATATGGCGAACAAGACCCAGCAACTAGACTACTGGGAAAAGTAGTCTTTGTAGTAACTCGTATTCCTTCCCTTTTAGTGTCCCATCAGCAGCTGTTGGAGATATTTGCTACTTGCAGTTGCAGATTGATTACATGCCACTGTAAGCAGTCCCATAATACCATTCCCTCCATAAGCCTATTAACCTCAGTCTTGAAGCCAGTTAGATTTTTTGCCCCTAGTATGCCCCTTGAAAGGCTGTTCCACCCCTCTGATGGTTAGAAACCTTTGTTTAATTTCAAGCCTAAACTTGTTGATAGCCAGTTTATATCTGTTTGTTCTTGTGTCAATGTTGGCACTTACCAGGGAGGGGGAAGAGTTATTTAATTATTTATCCCTCTGATATATGTATAGAAAGCAATCATATCTTCCCTCAGACTTCTTTTAGTTAGGCTAAACAAGCCAAGCTCTTGGAGTCTCCTCTCATAAGGTAGGTTTTCTATTCCTCTGATCATCCTAGCAGTCCTTCTTTGAATTAATCAAACATGGGAGCATGGGCAGCCGGTGACCTGACCGCCCAGGGAGGCTAACCCCCAGCCCCTTCCCTTGTGCCCGAGGCCCTGCCTCTTCCACCTCCCCCTCCCCTGCAGAAGCCAAAAGCACCCCCACCATGGCCCGGAGTGGCGCAGTCGCCGTGGCCCCAGCCCCGGGGCAGTGCCCAGTCCCGGTGCTTGGGCACCAAGCACCAGGCAGGTAGTGTGGCCCAGCACCAGCTGCCCCAGTGGCCCCCAGTTGCTGCAGGAGGCAACAGGCACACTGGCTTGGACACGGGGCCATGGTGGGCTGTTTGGGGAGGCAAAGCCTCCCCTTGCCTACAATACCCACCGCCCATGCATGGGAGACCAGGATTTCACACAGTATTCCAGAGGAGGTTTCACGAGTGCCTTGTATAATGGTACTAATACTTCCCTGTCTCTACTGGAAATACCTCACCTGATACATCCTAGGACTGCATTAGCCTTTTTCACATTTGCATCACATTAGCGGCTCATAGTTATCTTGTGATCGACCAATACATCCAAGTCTTTTGCCTCTTCTGTCGCTTCCAACTGATATGTCCCCAGATTATAGCAAAAATTCTTGTTGTTAGTCCCTAAATGCATGACCTTGTACTTTGGACTATGAAGTTTCATCTCATTTCTATTACTCCAGTTTTCAAGGTCCTCCAGATCTTCTTGTATGATATTCCAGTACTCCGCCCTGTTGGTAATACCTCCCAACTTTTGTCATCTGAAATTTTT